TTTCCATAAACCAGAAATTAGAATCTTCGACATTAACATTTATACTCGATTGTCATTTCCAATCTGTATCCAAATTGTTTATAAAACAAAAAAATTAATCATTCTTTCTGAATATAACGAATAAAAAATTAAATACCTATTGCAAATTGATAACCATAACATAGAATTCCATCATTAAAAGAAATACACCCTAATTATGGATAGCTTTTACAGTGTTCTATTTTTACATTAGTCAGGCATTCTATTAGCGAGATCTACGTTTATTCAATATTGTACTTAATGTATGTCAGTTGGAACTATAGAATAATGGTAAATTTGTTTGGTTTTCTACTTCAGTTTTGTCCCGTTTGATCAATAGTTACATACTCACAAACGTCTATATTAATAAAGGCCAAAAATGTCCGATCTATTAGAATTAATTCATTACTCGAATATCTCGAAATGTGGTTCCTTTTATGTATACATAAACTGAATGCGAGCAAATTAGTATATGTGCAAAATGGTCTCCTTAACTTACACCCCCAGTGTACGAACGGATCAACGTATAAAGTTTAATCAACTTATCAATTGGAGATTAAAGATTAGTACACAGTGAATATTTCGAATGTTATTTTAATCAGTAAACCTTACTTGTCGATGACTTGACTTCTAACGGGAACATTACCAGAATCATGTGTTATCCATTTCTCATAAACGGCCTATCAACTTATAAATTTTGTTTCCTAAAGATGGTATAGGCCTATTGATGTTTACATAAAAAATATAAATAGAGCTTATTATTATTCTTATAAGAAATAGTCCCGCGCATTCTCAGAAATGATCATCATAGTGTGACAATCGATACGAATATCAAAATAAAAGATCATAGTCTTTACTCGTAGGTTTCGATATACATAAAATAAACACATGCAATATATTAATTCTTCTTTAATCTAGTTACAATTGATCAATAATATATCTATAAGCAAAACATATATGATATATAAATTGCAGCCTATAATGTAACCATAATCTTGAAAAAATCCAATGACAATCAAACTGTAAATACCTTTTTTATCGTAAGCAAACAATGTGCATTTTGTATAAGTGTACTGCCGTCCGTATCTTTGTGATGCCATCAGATCTAGAAACAAATTACATGATTATCTGGCGTAACTCACGTTGCGTGCCGTGCAAAATCTCTGTTAGAGAAGCCTATCTTAATATTGCAATATTGCCCCTGCATGTCAGTAATAATAATGATAATAATAATAATAATAATAATAATAATAATAATAATAATAATAATAATAATAATAATAATAATAATAATAATAATAACAATAATAATAATAACAATAATAATGATAAACAGAAAAATAAGTAACAGTCACAGTAAGCACAATTACCGATACAAGGGTCGAGTGGATTATGTGTTTATTACCATGAGCTAATTTGATTACAGTCGACCTTTCAGAATGGTTCACAACAAATACCAGAATACAAATTATTTCCGCGTATCTGCCACAATTTCGTCGTTTACGGATTTTTAAAACGCCGGTTTAAAGTAACAACGTTTTCAGATACACTTACCAAGTGAATAATCCGGCTATAATGACTGTACTTTGGATACAGACACTCAACAAATATTTGGCTTCGTCTCTTTCTTTGCCACAATACTCGTTTTTTAAATGAAAAAAGCGTCGGTGCGGGGGTTTTTTTTTCAGGTTGTTGGTTTCTCGGACTTGGCATAATAATTCGTTTGGCATAAACATTTTTACCAGATTACTAAAGAATGAGAAAAGGTATGAGAAAAAAAAATAGCAGTCTGTTTCCGATCTTACTAAACTTATTTGTCAATTAAAGCAAGCAATAGAAGATCAAAGTCGTGAAATATTAGAATTGAAAAAACGTCTTAACGAGTATTGTGAAAAGTTGACTACTACAAATTAACTTTCGTACTAGAGTTTGAGATTTACCGCTCGAAGAATGTTTGCACTGACTTCGTCTGCTCGACTACGCCACCTGATTACCGGTTGATGATGAAGAACAAAAGCAATGATTGAAGCCTGGGTTCGCAATCTGATTGAAGAAAGGATTGCGACTTTCCAATCAAGGCCACGGCGCAATATTAGAAGAAATTCACAAAACACGTTTTCGCGGCTTATCAAGTCAGTCCGCGATGACTTAATGAACTTTTCAAGAAATCAAGAAGTTAGAAATTAAAATGTATTGTCCGAAAACATTATTAGACAAAAAAATTGAATACGCCGAAACGTCATTGATAGAAATTTCCAGAATTGTTTTACTATTAAAAGAATGATCTACGTTGACAATCGGCTGACTGCAAGATTTGTTGCGATCACAAGATTAAATGCTGTCGTCAGCAACGTTTTCAGCCAGTTAGCAAGCTTTTGTATAAATATCCGTAGAGGCAGATATTGTTGTACTCCACGATATAACACGCTTATGTATAATTATCCTGGAGGAATATTTTTTTAGTGAGACAAGCACAATTATGCACCACGAATGATTGCTGATGAAAAATTGTATAAACTGTCCGTACTATTATTAAACGACAACAAAAACGTAAACTGTGTTTTAGCAAATACCCCGTTGTAAACAAAAGAGAAATTTTGCTTTAAAACTGTTAAGTAATTTAACTATTTAAGTAAAGCAAGACAATCAACAAGTACGCTTAAACAAAACAAACCATTTGCAAATTATTTAGCAAATGCACATAAATCCAATTATTTTGTAACTTATTACAGCAATTAGCTTTAAATCCGTTTCTATTAAATTTTAAAGTGCTGGTATTTATCCTTGCCCCCAACAGGGAGTAACTCTAATTAATTATCGGTGGCTGCGTTACAAATTTCTTGGTAAAGAGAAGACTTAAATGTGGCGTTTAGCAAGATAATGATGTTACAGTACGGCAATTAGTGCACAACTTTTGAGTTAAATTTTTTTTTTAATTCGTAGCAAGTTCAATAAGACGTATATTGTGAGCAAAAAAATAAAAAATCCTGTTCTGTGAAAAGGCCACTCAAGCAGTTGCCAATGTTAAAGTCATTCAATGGCGCTTGTTCTTATAATCCTAATGTTAAACTCTAAACGGTCTAGAACTTAACTTTTACAAACGTCTGGCAAATATAAAGCATATATTCATTTGTTGATAGAATAAACTCCTTATCACAAATTTTTTTCTTCCTTTGTGTATTAATACGTTCAAGGCATGCGTCATCGAATATAACCATATTCTGCATTTTGTGCTAAAATCTGCATTTATATTACTAATAGCAATTATCTTCTATTCGGCAATAAATTTAAAGTTATTATCACAACGTATAAAGTCATGTGTCAATTTTAAGTTAGCAATTTGTATGACTGCGTTAATTTATGCTATTAAAATATTAGTCATTTATACTACAAAAAGCAATGTCGATACGATGCCTACTAAGTGACGTGATAAACGTAATCTAATGTTATGATGTCTATTATAAGACTTTATCGACAGAAAATTATAAGCAGATTTATGAGACAGACATTAGTCCGTGTTATATAAATTGGATTGGCGGACACTTCCACTATAGACCCAGGCATAAGACGACATACTAGCAACTGAAAACGTCATATGAGCTCTGTGTTGCAAATAAGTAAATTTGTACTAGCCCTTTGTTCGAACATGTGTGTTGTGTCTATATTTAATAAATAACCGACTAACATTTAGAACAAGATAAGCTCTTTTGTAGGGCTAGTATTACCGTATCAAGACGATAAAACCGCTTTATTAATTTCGCCTTTTCTGAACATGGAACTGTAGATCCATAGAACTGATTGGTTCAATTGCTGATCCATCCCCGACAGTTTCTGACGGAGTGTCACATGTTAGTATTTAGGAACAACAAACAAACTTAAACAGGGAGCAACAAATGAAAACAAGAACCTTCGTATGATTAATATGTTATCTTTCCAGTTGGCTAATCAAGACCATATACTTTAATATCGGTCTTCTGCTTGGTCATCCGATTGCACCAATAAACGTCAGCATAAATAATTATTTGGTAATACGTCGTTCCACAACAGAATATAGAGTAACAAACACATTAGATAAGCAAGGAATGTATTGAAACAATGGGAATCTTTATAAGTGAAGCAAAGACAGAGCAAACTATAGATAATCTATCTTGTTACTATTTACAGTAAAGTAAGAATAAAGGGGTGTTTATTATGTCAATAACACGTATTAGTATAAGGGACAACGAACAACGAAAACATATAAATTAATACTACCAAATTTGGGCATTTATTGTTCAATATGTATACACACTCGTCATTTTATTCGACCGTCTATCGTTTCATTTGTTTCTTTGTTAATTTTTCCAGATCCCGAAACAATAAAACAGCAACTTATATATATGCCCTTGTATTTGCATGTAGGATTAGAACAATACGAAAACAAACAATGAGTACAATAGAGAACAGCTATGCACAATGCCGGTGAGTAATAACAAGCTCATAAAAACATTGTCCACAAAGGCAACTAAACATACAGAGACGGCACAATACACTTATCGACAGCAACACCGATTATTTCTCGATATAACTTTGTTTCACTCGTTATATTTCTCACAAACGAAACGTTATTTTTACTCTAACTCTACATACGCAGATGGCTTCTCCGTCTAGACGGCTGTCCCGACCATGACTTTTTCGCACGAATTATGATATTTTCACTCATCATCTACTCCTCTCTGGCCTTACTCTGCATAGTACTCATCTTCTACCGCCAATACACTAATAAAGGCTCTCTTTGGTCCGGTCGCCTGTTTTCTCCTCTCGATGGCTTGCTTTTTTTCGCATTCGTATGGTCGGTGCTACGCAACATTTCGTCTATTATAAAACTGTATAATTGGCTGCCTGATACAACATGGAGATATGTGATATTCGAGGCAAGCTGGTCCTTTGCAACAATATCGGTGGCCACGTATGCATCAGGATTGTTTTATGCGATACCCAAAATGCAATTCAATCAGCGCACAGGCGCAAGCTCCAGAAAATTAATTTGGTTGCCCAAAACAGACCTTATACCATATTTTTATTGGGCTTTTGTTATTGGAAACATCGTTGTGTTTGAAATTTTGACAATATTTGCGGTAAAATATATGTTCATGGGTGACCATAAAAAAGAAAATCTGATCTGGGGCGTACATTGGTTTGGATATGCTCTTTGTCAAACTATATTGGCTATCGTGTTGATATACTATGGGTGAGTACATTATGCTTGAGAACGAAATAGAACGACTATGATTCTAGCAATATATGTTTGACTGATTTCTACTCTTTTTAGACAAATGTTGGTATCTCTGGCTCGCGAAAGCATTAATCTGACGGTTTACGAAGCGGAGAAGGAAAAATACAAGACTTTTGCCGACAGGGTAATTATTCAATATTGTTATTTAATCATGATAATGGGCATACAAAACTTACTGAAAATTGTTTTCCTAATCGTAGATGCGCTTGACTAATATAAGTCTAACCATAGCCTTTGGCTGGTACATATGTGCTCTGTCAGCAATGAGTTTTGCACCTGATTTTATCTATTCATCGGAGGTGATTTCGAAAGTAAATGCTGTCATGTCTGAAATATGGTCAGGATTGTGTGGAATAATCGTAGTCGCTGCTCTCCTATACAGGTTTGTATAAGTACACAAGACCATTGTCAAGTATAGTTAAATTTTAAAGTGCTGTTAGAGCAACTATTAATTATATTCATTTTCATTGTAGTGAAAGAACGTCCTCTAAAAAAGTATCTTTCGAAGATTTGACTTCAATATGGACCCTTTACAACCAAGATGAAGAACGCAGCATGACTGAGATGTGAAATATAATACTAAATAAGCTCTAGCAATTTGTTATTCAAATAACGGTTAAAAAATTAATATGTAAATAGATTTATAGATAAATTTATATGTATTTTGCAGCACGAGAAAAATAGATAAGCGTATGCACAAAATTATATGAACAAACAAAAAAAAAACACATTTATACAACCTACAAATAAAACTTACTTGCTAAAAATGTTTTTTTCGTAGCTTTTTTGTAATCATTGCACCTAAACACGTCTTCAAATTAAGGTTTGGTTTTAAACGGTTTTGAATATCAACCGGCTACGTTGCTAGACTATACATTGTTGTATAAAACTTAAACTTTATATACCTAATTTTTTATTATAATACAGGTACTCGTTATTAATTAAAAAAATGGCTGTCTATTATTTTCCAAATTGTGGGCATTTTTGCCATCATTATTAAAACCTAGACAGCAAGTATGTTTTTATCATGCATCCCCAAAAATTGCTGAACTTATGTGCAGACAATTATGTATCAGATGTTGCTGCGCGTCATATTTGATCAAGACTTTGCGTGATAAACTTCATTAAAAATCCTGAAATTTTTTATCAACTTATTTGTAGATAACTACGTTTTGCATCACATGCTTTAGAGCTCTCACGGAAAACCATGAAAAAAACAAATATTAATAGGCTTTAAAAGTCTATAGATATTTAACTGAGAGATAATTACTAAAGCAACGCATTGTTTTAGCACCATCAAGGAAGCTCTAGTTTTCAGCCTGGTCAAAATGCTACAGTGGTACGGGCCTTGCCGTTCCGAACCAAAGCAAATCGGGATCAAAGACGATAACATCTCACTTTTTTGTAATGCGTAGAGGATATCAAGGTGAATATCTAGCCTGCACAAAAAAAGAATATTAATATTAATCAGGATAAATTATAAATTTTAGTCTTTGACGGCAGAAGCGAAGCAATATACCGATAGTTTATGTCTGCTGCTCCGCACCGATTGCGTGGTTGAAGGCAAAACGCACTGTCAACGACGACCACAACTCAGATCGTATCGATTACGCCGTCTTTAAAAATATGGGGTTGATTTATGTTGCAGTAACAAAGGAGAATAATATTATCAAAAAAGAGCGCGATAAACCTCGCCTCGTTCAGTGTGAAGGAGTATCCGTTTGGCTTTAGGGTCTTGGCGTACAGTGCAGGAGACAGTGCGCTGAACTTATCTGCAGACTGCGGTGTAGGAAAACGCGCGGAGGCAGAAGCGTAACTGTGTGGACAAATTTGACTATACTGTATACACAACATAATTATAACCGCAAGCCGATGGTATACGAATAAAATCTGGATGTTTATTCTATAGCTAGAACAAACGGCGATTCTATCCCGCTTGGAATTGATGTGCTGAAAGATAAAGGAGGTTTGTTTTTTCGACTATTGCGTGATGATAAAGGATCGAGCTGAGGCGGGGAGAATGTCTTCAAAGAAGAAGCGATGTGTCGAAGAAATTATCGAGGAAACACTTGATTTCAATGCTAAAAGGATTAGCTGAGTTCGAGGTTTGAATCTTTTATCAATTTTCTGAATAGCGTCGTTTTTGAGCGGTTGGAGTGTCCCCACTTTTTGAGTAATAGTTGATATCAATATTTTAGAGTACAAATTGTTTACGAGTAAGCAATTTAACTAAATAGATTGCAGGATAATGACATGTAAACTGGGTAAGTATACATTCGATAGAGTACTGATTTGACGTAAAATTGTTCTATTATTATTATAATTTTTATCATAGTCAATTGCAATAACTATTGCTGTCATTTGTTCAAATTATTTCCGACATCTAAGATAATTACTCTCTACCAAACCCAACAGTATTATTTTGCAAAAAAAAAAAAAGCAACAAATATATACTGTCAAAAGTTTTAGAATCCATCAATAAAATACTGACAAGTTGAAACAGCAATCATTTGTTACTAATTGTCAAAAGTTTGCCGGTTTTTAATCAGATACAGCACACAGGTTCCGTACTGTAATGTGTTCAAAAAATAATTTCTTAATACTTAAATTATATACGAGGGAATTTTACATTATAGTTTCATCTTACATGTATGCATGTTTGTTTTGCAATAAGACATCATTATTTATAACTTTTAGAGCCACTAGCAAATTTTGTCTATCGATATCCAAAGGTATTCGATAAAAGTGACGATTCGCTATCTTAATATTTTTTTCCATATGATTTTTCAAAAGAAAAAAAAAACCAAACGTGCCACGCTATGTCAATTTCAATCGGTAATTACAAATGCGGTTCGATGCTAAATGTCATAGTACAATCATTGTTGCAGATGGAACCTGAAATGGTACCAGCAACATTAGAAAGAAAATCGTTAATTCGTATGAAAACGGTACGTTTGTACAACAAAATGTAGTCGCTCGATCGAAATTCAGCCTTAATTGAGCAGATATAGGTGTTTTAATTAACTGTGTGCTCAAAAGCACACATGTAACAAAAACCTGAAAATCCGATACTTTGTACTGTTGAAAACAAATGTTGCGTATTATGATAACGTGCTTTGTTCATAACAGATGGAGAATTTTTGACGCAATGAGCAGTGTAGGAGATGTTCAAGTCAGAAATTTGATGTCAATATAAATAGCCAACTATTTAATCTTACTTTATGTTTAATAAATAGTTAAACGTTAAGTAAGACATAACTTAGCCATATGCTAATTAAATCGTTCGTGCGACGACTCCAAGATCAAGTCATCTGTGCGCTGCAAATTTATTCTGTTGCAAAAAGGATCATCTATTTGGACACACATTCACTGCTACCAAGGAATGCTTTGTTTATTGTTACACTTTGTAAATCCTAGCACCAATGAGATTTTACAACATAATTAATATTTAACATATATAGATAGGAGATGAGCGAACAAAACGACGACGAAACAACAAATCAACTTTGTATTTGTATAGTCCGATTAATTGATTCAAACCGGCATTAAAACCATTAAATTAAGTACGCAAGCTATCCACAATTATCAATCTACACTTGGATAATGATATGGAACAAATGCTGGTATATTGCCAAGCGGTAATCTATTACAACATACTTGTTAAAATTATAAGTCGTTACCCTAATTCGACACCTGATACAATAATTCTAAACATGAATTATAAACGCATTATTCATTGTTAGTGTCAGCCGTGTGACCTTCTTTAATATACCAATAATGCAACAATTTATTTTGTAATTCAAATTCTGTAACAGAAAACGTAAACGGCGCTTCCGTAAATGCTTATACGATTTGGTCAAAGAAACACAAAGTTTAAAAATAAACACCCCGTTACTTTGTAGATTCTGTACCAGTCGTGCTATTAGCCGACAACAAAAGACACACAATTTTTATTTACTAGATAAACTAAATATATAATAATTATAATGTTACATAGTGATAATTAATTGTACTAATACTGCCACGCAATGTGCTAAAAGTTACCACAATACAAGTATTCTTTAAGAGTCAGATTAAGAGGTAAAACAATTATACCAAGATACTAATTTTTCAAAAAATTCTATGTTTATCCCAATAGCAATATGATTGCTGTTACTTTCTGATACACATCAGGGGAAATTCCATCCCAATTTTTGTACACATCACCAAGAATTATATGCGAAAAGAGGACATGGGAAGCAGCCATAACGTAAGTTATTATAAAATCGCCCCCATCTTTATCATCATCGTGATCATCTATACATCCACAACAATGTGTTAAGCACGTGCATATACAACATATAACAAATATAAAAAGTACGGCTGAAATAATTCCGCTCAACCACTTCATCCATTCGGGATCGTGACTATCCGAGGACATGACGATAAACGTAACCAAAGCTGCCCAGCCGGCAAGACACAGGAAAATAATTATAAGGCCGGCGAACAACTGTATGGTGCACGTAAGCTGTTTATATTCCTTTTTTTTGCTTTTGGAAAGGGTGTTAAGTAGCTTGAGAGCTTCTGGACCAAATTTTCCAAGCGCCATGAGTATAAAAACCCAATTTTTGTTACATGTAATACATGATGAAATAACTGGCCCTAATGTCATGACGAGTTTGATGGCTGATCGTAGCAAAGTCCATCCTGTCAAAGGTTCTGAGAACGATCTCATGGCACATATAAGAGCAAAAAACCAGCTACAAACTCCAAAAAATCCGTATGGTAATCCATAACAAGATATTTCTTTCGCTATTGGTCCGTCGTCTAAACAATTAAGTGGTTTAATATTATGCTCATTCGTTGACGTTGTTACTAGGATGTCAATTAAGCTTACCAGCCATTTCGTATTTGTTATGTTTTATTTAAATTGATTCTTCAAAAAACGTCAACGTATATATAAAGCAAATTGAGCGTTGCACGAACTTATTTAACACTTTATTTTGTGGATCGTCTGGCAACGATAATTGGTTTAAATTGGTGTACAGTACAGGAGACGGCAAACTCATCTGCAGACTGCGGTGTAGGAGAACGCACAGAAGCAGAAGAGTAACTGCATGGACGAATTTGACTATACTGTATGCATAATTATGACCGCAAGCCGATGGTATACGAATGAAAAGCTGGGTGTTATTCTATAGCTAGAACAAACGGCAATTCTATCCCGCTTGGAATTGATGTGCTGAAAGATAAAGGAGGTTTGTTTTTTCGACTATTGCGTGATGATAAAGGATCGAGCTGAGGCGGAGGGAATGTCTTCAAAGAAGAAGCGATGTGTCGAAAAAATTACCGAGAAAACACTTGATTCCAATGCTAAAACAATTAGCCGAGTCCGAAATTTAAATTTTCTTATCAATTTTTGAATAGCGTCATTTTTGAGCGGTTGGAGTGTACCAACTTTTTTGAGTAATAGTTGATATCAATATTTTGAGGTGCAAATTGGCGATTATTGTCTACTGGTAAATAATTTAACTAAAATAGATAAATACAAATTGCGGAATAATGACACGTAAACTGGGTAAGGATAGAGTACTAATTTGACGTAAAATTGTTCTACTGTTTATTATAAATTTTATCATAATCAATTGCGATAACTATTGCTGTTGTTTGTTCAGGTCATTTCCGACATCTAAGATAATTACTCTACCAAAACCCAACAGTATTATTTTGCAAAGGAAAGCAACAAATATAAACTGTCAAAAGTTGTAGAATCTATCAATAAAATACTGACAAGTTGAAACAGTTACTGATATCCAAACAGAATTAGGCATTTGCCAGTTTTTTATCAGATGCAGGCACAAAGGTTTTCTAGTTTTCAGTATAACTTTTGTACCGTAATGTGTTCAAAAATTTATTTTTTAACACTTAAATTACATACGAGGGGATTTTTGCATTATAGTCTCATCTCACATGCATGCATGTATGTTTGCAATAAGATATCATTATTTATAACTTTTAGAGCCACTAGCAAATTTTTTCTATCGATATTCAAAGGTATTCGATAAAAGTGACGATTGGCTATTTCCACATAATTTTCAAAAAAAAAAAAATTAAACGTACCCCGCTACGTCAATTTCGATCGGTAATTACAAGTGCGGTTCGACGCTTTACCTTTGAAAATGTCATAATACAATCATTGTTACAGATGAAGCATTAGAAAGAAAAACCGTTAATTCGTTGAAAACGGCACGTTTGTGCATCAAATGTAATCGCTCGATCAAAATTCAGCCTTACTTGAGCAGATATGGGTGTTTTAATTAATTGTGAGCTCAAAAGCCCATGTACCAAAAACTTGAAAATCGGATACTCTGTAATGTTGAAAACCAATGTTGCGTATTATGATAATGTGTTTTGTTCATAACAGATAGAGAATTTTTGACGCAATGAGCAATGTTGGAGATGTTCAAGTCAGAAATTCGATGTCAATATAAATAGTCAACTATTTAATCTTACTTTATGTTCATAGCTAAACGCTAAGTAAGACATAACCGAGCCATATGTTAAAATAATTTGTTCGTGCGACGGCTCCAAGATCAAGCTGTAATTTTATTCTGTTGCAAAAAGATCATCTATTTGGACACACATTCACTACTACCAAGGAACGCTTTGTTACACTTTGTAAATCCTAGCACCAATGAGATTTTACAACATAATTAATTGCATTTAACATATATAGATAGGAGATGAGCAGACAAAACGACGAAACAACAAACCAACTTTGTATTTGTATAGTCCGATTAATTGATTCAAACCAGCATTAAAACCATTAAATTAAGTACGCAAGCTATCCACAATTATCAATCTACACTTGGATAATGATATGGAACAACGCTGGTATATTGCCAAGCGGTAATTTTATTATACAACATACTTATTAAAAATTATAGGTCGTACCCTAATTCGACATCTGATACAATAATTCTAAACACGGATTATAAACGCTTTATTCATTGTTAGTATTAGCCGTTTGTGACCTCCCCTTAATACACTAATAATGCAACAATTTATTTTGTAATTCAAATTCTGTAACAGAAAACGTAAATGGTGCTCCCGTAAATCCTTATACGATTTGGTCAAAGAAACACAAAGTTTAAAAATAAACTCGCTACTTTGTAGATTCTGTACCAGTCGTGCTATTAGCCGACAACAAAAAACACACGATTTTTATTTACTAGATAAATAAATATATAATAATTATAATGTTACATAGTGATAATTAATTGTACTAACTGCACAATGTGCTAAAAATTACCACAATACATGTTCTTTAAGAGTCAGATAAAGAAGTAAGATGATTATACAAAATTTCTAAGACTTCAAAAAATTCTATGTTTATCCCAATAGCAAATATGATTGCTGATACTTTCTGATACAAATCAAGTGGAATTCCATACCAATTGTTGTACAGATCAGCAAGAATTATATGCGAAAAGAGGACATGGGAAGAAGGCAGAACGAAACCTACAATGCCACACATATCTCCTGAAAGGCAGCAGCACACAGCTGCTACACAATATGCTAGGCACCAGCATACACAACTTAGAAGTAATATAAAAATTACAACTCCAACAATTACGTTCAAAAACTTTGCCCATTCGGGATCATGATTATCCGAGGGTACTTTGACGACAAACGCAACCAAAGCTGCCCAGCCGGCAAGACACAAGGAAATAGTCGTAAAGACGGCGAACCACCTCATGGTGCCAGTAAGCTGTCTATTTACTTCTTCCTTTTCATCTGGAATGCTTTTGGAAATGATAATGCGGGTGTTAAGTTGCTTGAAAGCTTCTGGACCAAGTTTTCCAAGCGCCATGAGTATAAAAACCCAATTTCTGTTACATGTAATACATGATGCAATAACTGGCCCTAATGTTATGACAAGTTTGATGGCTGATCGTAGCAAACTCTGTTTTCTTGTCTTTCTTGTAAACAATATCGCGGTCCATATAAGAGAAAAAAGCCAGCAGCAAATTCCAAATAATCCGTATGGTAATCCATAACAAGATATGTCTTTCGCTATCGGTCCGTAGTCTAAACAGTTAAGTGGTTTACTATTATGCTCATTTGTTGGCGTTGTTAATAGGATGTGAATTAAGCTTACCAGGCTTACTAGGCATTTCGTAGTTGTTATGTTTATTTAAATTGATTCTTCAAAAATGTCAATGTATATATAAAGAAAATTGAGCGTTGCACGAACTTATTTAACACTCTTTATTTTGTGGATCGTCTGGCAACGATAATTGGTTAGCAGTATGCAGGGTTATTCAATTGAGACTAAGTAACGGTAGTAGCAGTGTGGAGGAGGAGGAGGAGGAAAAGTATTTTTCTTTATATACTGTACTACTGAGCGACAGTATAGTAGAAATTAAGATTATTATTCTCAAAAATAAGCCTATTGATACGATTATTCTCAAAATTAAGTCAAGTCTATTATTTTTATATTGCGTATTGCTTACTTGACAAGGCAACTCATGTGTATGCTTTGACTGACAATTTTGTTCTGCATACAGTCGAACCTCATTATACCGAACTCCGTTATACCGAGGACTAAGTAAACACCCGCTATAACCAAAAGTAAGTACAGAAACGTCTATAACAAATTTAACCTCCCTCGTTATACCAAATTTACTAATTAAACCTCCCTCGTTATACCAAATTTTTTTGGAATTTTTGCCGACCTCTTTGTTATAACGAGGTTCGACTGTAATTTGTTCATGAGTATGCTGCATATAATTAGCATACAAAATTATTGCAAATTTTTAAAGTGCTGTTAGAGCAACTATTAATTATATTCATTTCTATTGTAGTGAAAGAACGTCCTCTAAAAAAGCCTCTTTCGAAGATTTGTCTTCAATATGGACCCTTTACAACCAAGATGAAGAACGTAGCATGACTGAGATTTGAATATAACACTAAATAAGTTCTATCAATTGTTATTAAAAATAACGGTAAAAAAATTAATATGTAAATAGATTTATTATTTTATATGTATTTCGCAGCACGAGAAAAATAGATGTAAACATATTTCATTAAATTATTTAACACAAATTCTATAACTAAACAAAAAAAATTTTGTACAACCTATTAATTACAAAAAGACTACCAAGAAACCATTTTTAGCACGTAGGTTTATTTATTGCACCTAAACAAGTCTTCAAAATGGTGAAAATTAAAGTTTGGTTTAAACAGTTGAATATCAACCGGCTAAGTTGCTAGACTATATATTGTTGTATAAAACTTAAACTTTATACACCTAATTTTTTTATTATAATACAAGTACTCGTTATTAATTAAAAAATGGTGCCTATTATTTCCCAAATTGTGGGCATTTTTACTGTTATTATTAGAACTTGGACAGCAAGTATGTTTTCATCATGCGTCCCCAAGAATGTGGAAAAATGCTGAACTTATGTGCAGAAAATTGATGTGCTAGATGTTTCTGCGCGTCATATTTGATCAAAACTTTGCCTGATAAACTCCATTAAAAATTCTGAAACCTTTTATCAATAGACTTGTCACATCCTTTAGAGCTCTCAAATACTGATAGGCTTTTAAAAGTTTATAGATACTCGCTATTTTACGGGAGAGATAATTATTGAAGCAACGGATTGTTTAACACCATCAAAAAAGCTCTAGTTTTTATCTTTCAAGAACCTTGTCAAGATGCTACAGTGGTACGGAATTACCGGTAGCCTCCCTGAAGTATGCCGTTCCGAACCAAGCAAATCGGGATCAAAAACGATAACATCTCACTTTGTGTAATGTGTAGAAGATATCAAGATGAATATCTAGTCTTGCCTGCACAAAACAAATATTAATATTAATCAGAATAAATTACAAATTTTAGGTCTTTCACGGCAGAAGCGAAGCGATATACCGATAGTTTATGTCTGCTGCTTTGCACAGATCACGTGATTGAATGAAAAACGCACTGTCGTCGACGACTATAACTCAGATCGTATCGATTACACTGTCTGTCCTTAAGAATATGGAGCTGATTTGTGTTAATAACAATAAAGATAATATTATCAAGGAAGAGCGCGATAAACCTCGCCTCGTTCGGTCTGAGGAGTAACTGCAAGCATGTGTTCTATCCATTTGGCTTTGGTGTACAGTACAGGAGACGGCAAACTCATCTGCAGACTGCGGTGTAGGAGAACGCACAGAAGCAGAAGAGTAACTGCATGGACGAATTTGACTATACTGTATGCATAATTATGACCGCAAGCCGATGGTATACGAATGAAAAGTTGGGTGTTATTCTGTAGCTAGAACAAACGGCCGCTTGGAATTGATGTGCTGAAAGATGAAGGAGGTTTGTTTTTTCGACTATTGCGTGATAATAAAGAATCGACCTGAGGCGGGAAGAATGTCTTCAAAGAAGAAGAGACGTGTCGAAAAAATTACCGAGAAAACACTTGATTCCAATGCTAAAGCGATAGCCGAGTCTGAGATTTGAATTTTTTATCAATTTTCTGAATAGCGTCGTTTTTTGAGCGGTTGGAGTGTCCCCACTTTTTGAGTAATAGTTGATATCAATATTTTGGAGCACAAATTGGCGATTATTGTTTACGAGTAACGTAAAATTGTTCTATTGTTTATTATAATTTTTATCGAAGTCAATTGCGATAACATTGCTGTCATTTGTTCAGCTATTTCCGACATCTAAGATAATTACTCTCTACCAAACCCCAACAGTATTATTTTGCAAAAAAAAAAAGCAACAAATATATACTGTCAAAAGTTGTAGAATCCATCAATAAAATACTGACAAGTTGAAACAGCAATCGTTTGTTACTGATTGTCAAAAGTTTGCCGGTTTTTTATCAGATACAGGCACACAGGTTCTGTACTGTAATGTGTTCAAAAAATAATTTTTTAATACTTAAATTATATACGAGGGAACTTTTGCATTATAGTCTCATCTTACATGTATGCATGTTTGTTTTGCGATAAGACATCGTTATTTATAACTTTTCGAGCCACTAGCAAATTTTTTCTATCGATATCCAAAGGTATTCAATAAAAGTGACGATTCGCTATCTCAATTTTTTTTTCCATATAACTTTTCAAAACCAAACGTGCTACGCTACGTCAATTTCGATCGGTAATTACAAATGCGGTTCGATGCTTCAAATTTGAAAATGTCATAGTACAATCATTGTTGCAGATGGAACCTGAAATAGTACCAGCAACATTAGAAAGAAACCGTTAATTCGTATGAAAACGGTACGTTTGTACAACAAAATGTAGTCGCTCGATCAAAATTCAGCCTTAATTGAGCAGATATGGGTGTTTTAATTAACTGTGTGCTCAAAAGCACATGTACCAAAAACCTGAAAATCCGATACTCTGTACTGTTGAAAACAAATGTTGCGTATTATGATAACGTGCTTTGTTCATAACAGATGGAGAATTTTTGACGCAATGAGCAGTGTAGGAGATGTTCAAGTCAGAAATTTGATGTCAATATAAATAGCCAACTATTTAATCTTACTTTATGTTTAATAGCTAAACGTTAAGTAAGACATAACTGAGCCATATGCTAATACTAAATAAATCGTTCGTGCGACGGCTCCAAGATCAAGCCATCTGTGCACTAATTTTATTCTGTTACAAAAAGATCATCTATTTGGACACATTCACTACTACCAAGGAATGCTTTGTTACACTTTGTAAATCCTAGCACCAATGAGATTTATCACTATAATCATTTTGGGCGCAACTCGTGATTATCATTTCAAGTATGATCTGTTCAGCTGTATCTATTTCAG